TATGAATGATACTGGACATTCTTTGGTAGCATCCGCAGTTGTACAATATCCGAGTCCGAGAATTGCGACACACATTTTCGAGTTGACGTCGATATTATCTACCAAGAAAACAGTAGCTGCTATGATTGATTCAGGCGCTACAGGTATATTCATTTCATCTTCTTTTGTACATTAAAATAACGTAGTTACCAGGCTTATGAAACATCCTATTGTTTTGTATAACATAGATGGTTCAAGGAACAAGGCTGGTACTGTTACTCATGTAGCTAAGTTACGCTTGCAAGTAGGTAACTTTGATGAGTTAGTAGAATTTCTCGTTACAAACATTAGTATGGAAGATGTGATTTTGGGTATCCCATGGCTACGAGAAGTAAACCCTACGATTAACTGGAAGGAGGGAAAGATCACATTCGAAGGAGAACCTGAGGAGGTTCTACCGGAGGACGATGCATCTGAATCCCTCTTTCAGAAAATCAGTGGGACAAGGAAACTCCAGCATGAATGGGAAAGGTGCAGAGTGTTGGAAGAAGTATCCAAAGAGCTCTAGTGCTGCGCTGGTGTTACGTACTCCATCCAGCTAGCAGCCCAAGCTAACCAAGGAAAGGCAAAGAAGACTTTCGAGGAGATGGTTCCTGAGCAGTATCGGGACTTTGCCAAAGTCTTCTCAGAGCTGGAGTCAGAACAACTCCCCGAGCATCAGCCGTGGGATCGCACAATCAATCTGAAACCGGACGCGCCGGTTAGCATCCATGCTAAGGTATATCCAATTCCAGTAAATGAGCAAGGAGAGCTAGACAAGTTCCTGGAGGAGAATCTATGGAAGGGATACATTGTACCTTCCAAATCTCCTCTCACGTCACCTGTCTTCTTCATCAAAAAGAAGGACGGCAAGCTCCGTATGGTTCAGGATTATCAAAAGCTCAATGATATCACCATAAAGAACTGCTACCCATTACTGCTCGCATCGGATATTATCAATTGATTGCGCCAAGCCAAGTACTTCACCAAGTCCGACGTATGCTGGGGGTACAACAACATATGTATCAAGGAAGGTGACAAATGGAAAGCCGCCTTCATCACCAACCGAGGACTGTTCGAACCGAAAGCCATGTTCTTCGGCCTCCCAAACTCCCCTGTGATGTTTCAAGCACTTATGAATTCCATCTTTGTCGATCTAGTCGCAGCCGGGAAGGTAGCTGTATATCTAGACGACATCTTGATATACAGTATGGACCTGGAGGATCATCGCAAAGTAGTACGCGAAGTCCTCCACTGACTTCAGGAACATGATCTGTTCTTGTGACCCGAGAAGTGCGAATTCGAGCAGACAAGTGTAGAGTACCTAGGTCTAGTCATCAGTGAAGGGACGGTGCGCATGGATGAAGTAAAAGTCAAGGCTATCGTTGAGTGGCCGGCACCCAAGAGTCTCTGCGAGTTGCGAGGATTCCTTGGGTTCGCCAATTTCTATCGCCACTTTATCAAAGACTTTGCAAGAACCGTGCATCCCCTAAACAATATGACCAAGAAAGATACCCCCTGGCACTGGGGTCCAGAGCAGAGAGAAGCCTTCAAAACATTGAAGGATGTGTTCATCTCAGAACCCATACTAGTCACATGGGAACCAGATCGTCCAATGTGCATAGAAGTAGATGCATCAGGATATGCAACAGGAGGAGTCATCTCGCAGAAGCTACCAGACGGTCTGTGGCACCCGATCGCATATTGGTCCCAGACAATGGCAGATGTGGAAAGAAATTACGATATCTATGATCGAGAGATGTTAGCCATCATATGTGCACTTGAGGACTGGAGACATTATCTAGAAGGTCTTCCAGAACCCTTTGAGATCATCACCAACCATCAGAATCTGGAGTATTGGCGTACTTCCCAGAATCTGACTCGGAGACAGGCACGGTGGTCCATCTGGTTGTCTGGATTCAATTTCTCCCTGACACATAAACCTGGAAAGACGAACACTCGGGCAGATCCCTTATCACATATCCCTTCTCTCCAAGTAACGGATGAGGAGGATAATCAGGGTCAGATTGTGCTAAAACCTGAGTGGTTCACAAAGATCTCTGTGGACCAAACTGAAGTGGTCACCCCACTAGAGGTTTGTCTTTGTCAAGCAAGTATGCGTGAAGCCAAAGTACTTCAAGGGCTGAAAGCCTTGAAAGAGCACAGGCCGCGTAAGCTGACGAATGGACTCCTCGAATGGGAAGAAGAAGCAGGTATTGTTTACCACAAAGGGAAAATCTATGTCCCTGCTGATGAAGGGCTGTGTACCAAGGTACTATGTCAATGTCATGATGCACCTACAGCAGGACACCCTGGGAAGAATGGTACCCTTGCACTGGTTAACTGCTACTATTGGTGGCCGGGAATATCCTGATTCGTGGAGAAGTATGTAGCTGGGTGTGATCATTGTCAGAGATACAAGCAAGCATCTCATCCGCCTGCTAAGCTCCACCCGCTACAAGTACCACAAGGTCCCTGGACCGTCATCGGAGTAGATGCTGTCACTGGACTTCCAAAGTGTAAGGGGTACGATGCTATCATCACGTACATTGACCACTATGGCAAGCAGGCCCACTTCCTTCCAAGTACCACTGACGTCGATGCCTCTGGGATAATTGACTTGCATTATCGAGAGATATTCTGACTTCATGGGATTCCTGACGAGTTTGTGTTGGATCGAGGTCCCCAGTTTTCTGCTAAGCTAATGCGGGAACTGTACAAGAAGCTCGGAATAAATGCAAGTATTACCACGGCATATCATCCCCAAAGTAATGGTCAAACGGAGCGCACAAATCAGGAAGTCGAAAAGTATCTATGACTTTTCTGTGATAAACACCAAGATGATTGGGTTAATCACCTACCCACTGTGGAGTTCGTATTTAACTCCCATGTTTCATCAGCCACCGGCTACAGTCCGTTTGAAATCATGTATGGGTATCGACCTGATTTCACGGTACCACCGGGCTGAAAGAGCTCTATCCCCGTGCTTGACCAGTGTCTCAAAGATCTTGGAGAAGTACGCAAGGAGGCAGAAGCAGCTCTATGCTTAAGTAAAGAGCATATGAAGGAGTCCCACAATAGTGACAAAGCACCAGTATTCAAGGAAGGAGACAAAGTCATGCTAACTTCCAAAGATATCAAAGTTCACCAAGCAAGTCAGAAGCTTGGGCCGCGTCAATTAGGACCTTTCACTGTTGTTCAAGTAAGAGACAATGATGACTATGAGCTAGATTTACCTCCGGTGCTAAAGATTCATCCTGTATTCCACGTCAATCGACTCTCTCCATACAAAGAAACAGAGGAGAATGGCAAGCCGCCACCTCCAGAACCTGTAGAAGTCGACGGAGAAGAAGAATGGGAAATTGAATGTATCTTGGATAGCCGGTTCTATCATCACCAGTTCCAATATCTCATATGCTGGAAAGGCTTTGATGAGGGACACAATAGCTGGGAACCAGCCAAGAACGTTACCCACACCAACGAAGTGATCAAGGAATTTCATCAGATGAATCCTAATGCACTGTGCAAAGTCTCTGCCACCGGATTTGGCAAGATCAAGTGGAGACCACGAGAGAATTTCATGGAAATTCAACCCTCAGACCTCGAATGGGAGGCGGGTAAGTATCCAAGCAAGAGTGTGTCGAGGAGGACACGGTTTTAGGAAGGGGGTAATGTCATGGTAGGCATGGCTAAGCCCTATTTTTGCCTATATTTTTATGATTTTATCTCGTGTTACAATGGACTTGTACTATACGCTTGATAAAGACTTTGCCTGGAATGGCATTCTGACTAGTCATGTGACGTAACCACATACTAGGGTTTCTTTTGTAGCACATGACTCACTGACTCATATCCCAAGACTGGAGTTATGGTAGATCGTGTCATCTTGCACCATCGGTAGATAGCCAATAGTGTAAGTACCTCATGCATGTGATGGCTGTCTGGTGTGGGAGCCCTGCCCTAAACCTCAGGGGTATAAGTAGAGTAGCCCGTAGTCCTAGCTCTTCATCTCGTCCTCTTGAAGAGCTAGGTAAGTTCCCTTGTACTGATTACTAAGATAGTAATCTAACTTGAAGAGCTAGTGATTCTACTCCTAGTCCACTGAACATCAACTCCAAGTCTGTTAAGCCCTGAGGGTGAGTATCATACTCACTCAACCTCTGTCCGTACGGGGTAATTCCCAGCGAGACCTTTCTCACTTTCTATGTGCACGTCGACCTAGTTCCGCGACAGAGAGGAGTGAGGGTGCAGGCCTTAGTGTTGGCTCACTCAGAGGTTTCACAGCAGGGTATGCAGCAAAGGTTGAGTGGAGATAAAACTAGGTCAAACTGGAGTTTGACTGTACTACTACTGCAGTATATATACAGAGGAATGATGTGTCACTGACGTGTCCTTGGAATGTCATGGAACAGTATGGAAGACAAGGGATATACTGTAGAGCAAATAGGAGAAAACACATAGGTAGGTAAGCATGAGGAAGGCATGAGGCAAGTGTGAGGTAAGTCAGAAGGTATGGTCAGGAGGTGAGGCATATAGTGAATGATGAATGTGCAGCATCCTTGAGGGGAACATGTTCCCCAGTCCCTAAGCTAGAAGTACAGGGCTGGATCATGAAGGGGCATGACCAGGCCAGAGACGAATGATAGAGAAAAGAAAACAAACCCATGTCACATACCATGGTCACTTGTAACACTAACAAAGTCGGGGGTATATATACATCATGCAACTAACAAAAATGGTTCAGTCCATCTGTGCAATGCAGAGTCCTACAGCCTAAACCTATCCTATCCAACTCATGCCTGAGCCTCTGAGCTCAACACCTCTGTGAGGATCAGTCTTAGAGACTGCTCACCTAAGTGGGGGTTTTTGTGGAACCTAAGTGAGTCGCTGAAATTAGGGTGCCTCAGGCATCATAACCTGTGTGTGAACCAATGAAAAAGGAAATGCACAAATGGGCAGTGGATATAAAAGAAACAGAAATATGATGAGAGTGGGATTCGAACCCACGCCCCGGAGGACCAGATTGAATAACCTTAGTCTGGCGCCTTAGACCGCTCGGCCATCTCACCTTATGATGGATGACTAATAATTGCTTAGTAAGCTGTCAGATTGAATTGACTTCATATTCAGGTCAGAAGTTTCACTAGAGATATGGTGTAACCACTTGTTACACTAGCTTACTTACTATTCTATTTGCCTCCATAGTGCTTATGTGCTGCACATCATGTTTGGTTCCATTGCCTTTTCTGTCACTATTATGAGTTTGTGTTCCTGTGAAGTTGATACTTGCTTTCTTGCATTGAACATATTTGGTTCACACTCCATGTATACTTACTTTCTTACATTGACTACACAGCTCATTCTAGTTTATCTTGCCTGTCTGATTCAATGAATGTGCTTCCACAAACTGTGTTACATACACATGAGCCAAGGCATGTATGCAGCGGAAATTGTTACCTGTTTAGTGCATATAGTTTGCAGCCACCCTGAAGTTGAGCCTAAACTTATGTGCAGGATACATACTCAGTGAGTTAAATTGTAGCCTATACTACAAGTCTAAGTGCAAGTTTTAGGGTAGCTGTGAATTGAATCCTATATGCACCAAACAGGTATTTAACAATTTCTGCCACATTTATGCCTTTCCTGACCTGGCGGCATTTGGTCAATCCAATTCAACAGCTGAGTATATAGTTATTAGTCACTCGTTATAAGGTGAGATGGCCGAGCGGTCTAAGGCGCCAGACTAAGGTTGTTCAATCTGGTCCTCCGGGGCGTGGGTTCGAATCCCACTCTCATCATCTTTTTGTTTCTTTTACAACCCTTTGTCCTGCTTATCCACCATCCTTAGGAGCTCGAAATCGAAGCTTCCAGACGCGCCAGTTTGTGTATTGGTTGGTCCACGCACTCGCAACGCGCGAGGCACCCCAAGTCCAGCTTCTCAGTATGACAGCAGTTGCGGTTGTTGCGTACAGTACACACCACCTGGATATATACACTTATACAGGAGAATGATTTTTCCGCCCCGGCCGTCAAGGTTTGGAAATCGGAGAGCGAGCTCTATGATCGAGGTCCCCAAGTTCTTAGTAGCACAATACATCGTACAACGGTGGAATATGTTTCCTCAGATGAATAAGATGTGGTAGGAACCGAATGTCCTGTCATGACACCCTAGCAGAATAAGTCGCAGGTGTACACTGGCGTGTAAAAACCATACTATAACTTGACCTAGTGTGGCTTTCGGCAACATTATGCCATGCGTTTGCGACCACCCAAAGCGGGACACAAATCGTTTATACACAGCATAAATGGCTAGCTTTCGGCTGAGCGACCCGACTGTACGCTACCTCCGTCGTGTACATTCCGTACGGGGGCTTGAGAGACACACACTGACACACCACGTCGGTAGATGCTGATGCGGCACCCTTGCCGACGCACCAGAGAGGCCACTTACACCTTCAGGGAACGAGACGTCCAAGCTAAGTCATGCCTCGTAAATGTTCTACAGTTAGCAGCATCAACATCACTTCCGCAAACCCGTACATCGTACTCACCATAACCCGTGCGCAGAGGGACCGGCAGCTAGTAGGTGGGAACCAGCGTCTGAACCAGAGATATATAGGCAGATGGCTGAGGTTGGAGTGGATACGTTGGTGCGTTTGCTAGATGTTTATTTCCCCGACGCATGATAAGTGGAAGAATAGTCGCCATTGCTTGCAACAGAACGCGTCGTCCAGCCATCGATACACCACACGGACAGGCGTAGTGAGTGGACACCATAGTGGGAAGAGCTAGTATGATAGCTACGGTGCGCTATCTGGAAGCGCAGCCTGCACGCAATTCAGAAGACATGCGACGACATCGGTAAAGGGGAATACGGACTCTCGGATAGGGCAACTTGAATATGAGGAGTACGTCCGTCACCATGACTTGCCGGTTCTCCCCAACGCAGCCTGTGCTGCTTGCGCGAGTGCGATCTCGTTGTCCTCAGTCTGTTGAATCTGTCAAATAAAGGCGCGATGTGCAATCTCAAAACACACCTCTTTGTCCGGCCGAACGTCTGCTTCTTGCAGAGCGAGGGCCTGGTAACAGACGTCAACTCAGTCCGTCGTGCAACCTTCGTCAAAACACGCTGACCTCTGAGTGGTGCCTTTTAACGACCACAATCAAGACACAGGAGCAAGCTACGCACCTCGACCCCTCTTCAACGTATCTCGGTGTACGACGCCTATCATGACCACTCCCCATACGGTGATCCCCACCAGGGTGAACAACAGCCCCCGATGGAGAATGTCGGTGATCGACATACGCGGCCTTGTTGACATCTTGGACCACCAGAGCCAGGCCCGATAGAGTAGAGAGCTGCAGGGGGATGTGGTCGGTAGAGACCCGCAAGGTATGAGAGAGACACAAGTTATGTTTTGCAGGCTGAGGCGGTCTTGTGGCGAACCTTACGGCGACAAAGCGTTGGTTCGAATCCCACTATCATATGTAGCGCTTTAATAGTCTCCCGTAGGCAGACCCAAAATACGACCTGGGGAGGACGGTCGTTGCTTTAATATCGCGTTTTGGCGAACTGCACTGTTAGGATTGCTGGCTGCATGTAAGATTGACTGCAAGAGCTCCCAGTCGCAATATAATATTAGTTCAGCGTAGTGTACAGGGTAGTGGGAGTGGGGACCTCTAGAGTAGGTTGGCTGACATGTAGTTAGTGAGCGCTGTCACGGATCACATGTACATAAGTAGTACGTGCGGTATCACGAAGCGTATCTGTTTCTCGGGCTGTAAGTACGACACGGCAGTCAAAACGCCGCAAGGAGAACAAAATTACAGCACAACGCCAATCCCTGGCCAGTGAATCCCCCGCAGCCAGCCTCACATCCAGCGAGTCCATTTCCACCGCAGTCGCCGTGTCTGGATCCTTCCCACATATCTGAACGATCTTCCGCATGCAGTCTCTAGGCTCGAGTGGGCATATGGAGGTGTCCGCGCACCCCACATAGCGATAAGCACGGTGTTTGCCTACGAATTTCGTGTACTCGTCTTCTCCCGCATAGTCTTGCTCATAGGGACACACCACGCGTTCGCCCACGACCTCCGGGAATCCCTTTATTGGCTGCCGCTCGCCGCAGCCACCGAATATCGTCATCGCGAGGGCAAGCACGTCTATGTTGTTCGGGGTCGCGGGCTCCTCCTTAATGAACAGGCTGCGAAACACCTCCATATGCGTGTCCGCCAGCGGTTGATTATTGTCTCCATTTCTCCCTCGAGCGCGAGGAAATGCTCCTTGCCAACAATGATGTCTGTCGGCTCGCACATTATCTTGCGTATATCCTTCTCGAGGGCAATGTCCCCGACGCACAGGCAACACAACATCATCTCGGGATGTTTCGCGTAATAGCGGTCCAAGAGCTCCTCCCCAACGGTGATCAAGACAGCCCAACGCTGCGTCCAGCTGACCCCAGGACTCGTGTGCCAGGCGTTGCTTCTTGCCTTCCTCCATACGTAGCAGGAGCTCGCAGCGCATATTCTGCCACACTGTCAAATGTCCGTCCCGTGAGTATGTCTAGTGAAGTGTAAGCAATATAGAGATACATACCGCGATCAGTGAGCGCTTTCGCCTGCCATACGGGTCTAAAGCCCGAGAGCGGCTTGTAGTCTTCTTGTGTCAGAAAATCAACCTCGCGACCCCAACCAAGGCCGTGCAACCTTACTCCAACACTGAAACCTTGTAAAAACTCCGCTCGATTGCAGACATGTACTGGCTTTGCACTTACTCCTTGTGACGCGCAATTATAATTTTACGCTCTTTTCGTTCTGTTAATTCCTGCTGGGCGCGGTCCCCAGGCCATGCATTTTGACGCGAACTTTGGGGTATTCATCTGAGCTCACCCAATAACTCCACAAGAAAAACGCTTATTACCTATCTGCGTAGTCTACTCACCTCATACCATTTCTCTGTGAAGGACATTGGGGGATAACATCGCAGTGAAGGGAGAGCTTGAAACTCTTGAAGAATTTGCAGCAGTATAGGCACGAAACAGCAGGGTTTAGGGAACCCAGTGACGCCTTGGATCTGCAGCCACAAATTCAGCTAGGTTCCTTTTCCTTAAAACAGGTGAACCTACCAGGAGGGTCTCTAAAATGTTCTCCGGCACTGAAATGAATACGCTCATTTGTTCTCGATTCAGTGACTCATGAACTCTGTTTAGCCTGACAAAGATAGAATGATTGTGAGTGATAGAGTAGCGGCTAGCCATTAAATTGGTCGAATACTTACACGTCTTCCCTACACGTCGCACATATCCGTGAATATAGAAGCCAGTCAATGTCGGTTGCCCGTCCCGCTCCACAGAGCTGTGACGCAGTGGTCAACCATATTCAAATGTAAAGTAGATATGTTCGAAATCCTTACCGTGCATGTGCGGCAATATACGAGTGCAATCCATGCCGGCTCGATTAGTTCACTTGCCAGACATGGTGGGAGCCCATCAACTCGACCCAATGAGTACTTACAAAACCACGCAGAGTTCTTCGACATCAAGTACGCATGGAAGGTCTTTGTCAGACGGCTCAGGCTCAATAGACGCAAATCTGCACCCAAAGTTGTCAAGTTTGATGTCAAGAACCACTCTATGTCAAAGCACAACTCATCTTATGTATCACATCCACAGGCATATCCATGAACATCTGAAGACCTCCCTGCCTCTCGCAAATACTTCTCCAACGACCCAAAGTCTGCGCGTCCGCGCCTTTCGAATCGGTGGTCGGGGAAGCGGCAGCGTTAGCTTTAGGTCTCCTCACCTTCTTGGCGGGCATACTGACGGTCGTAGTTGAGGTAACAATAGGGGAGTGGGTTCGAACAAGACGCAGACCGCCCCGAGCTCGGGCGGCCGGTCACAGCAAGGTCACGTGCATGTGACGCATCGCGTCTGTCACACTTGCGCTCGATTCTTCTCGTATGCAGACCTAAGTACGACCTTGAAGGAAGAAGAACGCATACGATTTTTGGCCTCAGTCTGAGCGGTTTGGATGTGTAAGCCTGCTCGATACTGATCCCATCGGTGCTTTC